GGATCAAGTGTGACGATCCAGGGCGGGCAGCTGGATTCGCAAGGCATATAAGTGGACGGTGAGAGCCAATTGAACTAGAAATGCAAATGTTCGGCCCATCGGTCTAAGCGTCTCTGTAGGTTGGCATTCGGCTAACCATCCACTTCGCGGATGATCTCACTGACACCAGGCCTTCTGTGGCCAGTGGATCGAATGAGCTGGAAGAGCTTGCGAGTAATGCCAGAGAGGGCAAAGGCCGCCATTTCCGAATCACGCTGGGACCAATAGGCTTCACAGTTAGTGCTTACGCTTTGTTTGAGCTGCCGACTGGCAGAACGGTGCACTTCATTATGATTAGAATCCACTGGGATATTTCTGCAGCAGTCAAATAGATCCAAAGCCACGTAGAGATCCAGGCCTTTTATGCGGGCTGAGAAAGACCACACACTGACTGCCCGGAAGAAAACATGGGCTTTTGCATGAAACTCCAGTGTTCATCAATATCTTGTAATGGATCGCAGCCGAGTGCAACGGCCAGGGAAGCTTGAAAGCTCAGCTGAACCGAAACAGTAGATAGTTTATTTGTGTCTATCTTACAGTGCTTCGTTTTAGGGACCCTCCGAAACTCATGCAGATGGTCGCACAGAAAAGAGCATGGTTTGAGTCAAGAAAAGTTGACCAGGTGGATGTGCGATCTTTTACACTATCTCTCCATCTGTAAATAAATGCGATATGATCAATCTGAGCACATGATTGAGACGCAGAGGGGGGTCGCCAAGTAGCGGAACATTTCCTCGAATGTCGAAAACTGGTGCTCGAGGGAAACTGATGATTATCTTCGCACAGTGTGAAAATTTTCTTTGTATTATTTACGCAGCTCTCGCCGAGCGCATAGTGACCACCTAGGTGACCTTTTCAGGATAACAGACAACCGACCGTGCGTTGAGATCCCAAGCAAGGACACTGGTGTCGGATCTGTAGACTCTGCGCAAGTGCTGACGAAGTTCACGGTAGAAATCGTCCTTGGCTGAGTCGGAACTGCATTCCTTTAGAGCTTAAGCAGCGTCTTCTCACGATATCTGTTTATCTTGTATGATCCCCGAAGCCGAACTGCACAAAGTCGGCCATTAGTCGGGAACCAGTCCAGTAGTGCGGCCTAGGCTTTGCTACTTGGCGCTATACCAAGGCCAGCCAAGCCTGCTGCAGCTGCTTCTGTGTCATCAGATAGACGTGGTTGAAATATGGCTCCGAGGTCGGTGGGAGATCTAAACACAATCACAGTAATGGGATTTTTTAAGCGCATTTTGCAAAGACAGCAAACAGCAATGGCGAGAGATTCCAAGCTGCGCGCAGGACCAGCTTGATGTCCGACCTGCATGGGTGTACGTACATTGAAGCATCTCAGAGGGAACGAGGACCGAGGCCGAAAGAGTGCGACTAGTCGAGCTCTCTGGGTGTCGACGAAACCATCCGGAGTAGAATCATGGAAACAGGAATCGGCTCGTAACGGATAACAGTGATTGGTAACGGCTGAACAGGTTGCGTGTGAAGGTGCGTGACTGGAAGCCAGAGCAGCTGAAAGCGATATTGCACATGAACAATCCATGGTTTAGTCAGTATGCCTGATACTACTCGACTGCTCAAGCCGAAGTAGGGAGTTATCTCAGGAGACCCCACTCTAAGCCTTTGGCTAAATGGCCTGCCCACAAGGCAGCGAGGCGATTGTGAGACCGAGTTAATCTGATCCATAACCATTGACCCGCCTGGTATGAGTGGATCCGAAGGCACTTGAAAGTGCCACCTGACGCAAACTATCGCACAACGTAAAGGTCCAGTCTTGTTGCGATGGGAATCCGATACAAGCTAGAGAAATGTTGGGAGCATGGTATTATATAGGCACTTCGATAAACCGACGCGTTGAACTAGAAGCTATATATACGACACTACGGATGTACGATCACCAACCTAAACAGCTAGGTCTAACGGAACAGAAAGATGGACAACCGCAGAGACACGCCTGCTTACTGCGAGGCGTGAATCAAATAGATCTATTTTGATGGTCATGTGCCTATGCAACAGTCCAAACTGACGGTTCGTCTGCCTACAAGATCGATCACTCACACTCACTGACGCGTACCGCGCCGCTCAGTTACATACACGCGCACTGACGATGTCACCTCGAGTGGTGAGGAAACTTTTGCAGACAAACTATCGAGTTCAGCGAAAATTCAGACCATTAACGGAACAACTTGAGCTACCCGTATTTGCTTTTATATAGAAGAGGAGAAATTTTTGGTGTACTCAGCTACAAACACTGCATTCCGTGTTCGGCATCATACTTAGTTACTCGGGTTAGTCAGAGAGGGGAGAACTGCAGGTTGAACTCGAGACGTTGCCCACTACTCGGTGGCTTATAATTTGAGGCTTCGGCTAACATAGCAGTAACCTTGGGTTTCAGTCACATAATTATATTATCTGCTATCTCAGCCTGACGTGTGCTAATAAATACGAAATCGTTATGGAATGATAACATCGATTTAACACTCTCTTGCCCAAACCACATTTCGCATGGTGGTTTGGCATAAACAATATACGGTGTTCAGATCCAGTGTGAGCACGTGACCGGTTACGTAGGGACCGCGCACATTGGGCTGCGTGAGGGATATCGAGCAATAGCAATCGTGCAATAGCATCACCGACTCAGTCGCGGCTCTGCCCATACATGACTCCTGAGGTGCAAGTTGTCGGGCTCAGCTCTGAGGTGTGACGTGGAGAAATTCTACTCCGCGCACCGTGCTCAGTTCGAACGGTATTGTTAGAACGTGAATTCTCCAAAGAAGGATAGAGAAGCGGTCGCCTTTGTGAGCATGCTATATATATATATATATATATATATATATATATATATATGTCTAGTTAGTTAGTTAGTTATTTAGTTGGGGAATATCTGAGCATGCCATTTACCAAATTTGTGTTCACATACTTTTGGATTTAATTTCCACCCGTTTATGAAACCCTCATCGGTCGAAAAGTTAGACTATCTCGTTGAAGACATTTTGCACCCGAAGTAAAATAGGGCCCCTTTGGAAGGAGAACGTAAAATCCATGTTCGCCATCTTTGTTCCCCATTTTGCAAATCCCGAAAAAACAAGTTCGCTCTTAGCAGCAGCTTTTATATTTCTTCCAATTGGCGCTACTTTTTTGAGCACATGATAAAGGTGCTACCTAGCAGTTGATCCCAGCCGGACAAACATGGAGCGAATTTGATCGCCAATGTTAACAGGCCACAGATATACATCCGTAAAATCGGTTGATGTGTGTGTTATCATACATTCTTCAAATTCACGCACCTGCATCAGCATTGCATACATTTCCCGCTTCAACAATACTGTCAATGTCGCTTTCTGTCGCCCGGGTACCACCGTCAGCAGTATCAATTTCGGATTAAGTTTCAGTATGATTTCCGCCCTTCGTTTTTACTACTACAACCATAGAAATGATTTTGATGAATTCAAACTCGGTATAGAACAATCACCTGTACTCAAATGCCGCCCTTTGTCACACGCCGCCCGGGGCGGACCGCCCCCGCCCACCCTATGCTACGTCTCTGTATTTGTAAAATGATTTCGTGTATACTACACACCCAGTTGCAATGACCTTTTACAGTTTCGATCTTACGCTATTGACTGTGTGGGTTAGGCAGATGAGCCAAGTGGTACTCTTTGTTTGATTACGCTTTACCTCCTGGTAAGCGGGTCAATGAGATTTATCAGCATTTTCAAAGTAGTCAAATTCAGCCCTTCTTCTTTTTTTACTAGTGCTTCGCCACTCCCGTTGTGGGTACTAGTGGTTTGAATGTTTTCCTTGTTAGACCGCCTAGTGGTTGTTCATAACCTGTCGAATCTGCAGTTGTTTTGTGCTCACCGATTTGTTTCTGTGTCCCATCCCAGAACATATCGTCAAATACCTTTGTTTATTGGCATGTTTGTGCTCTCCGAACTCGGTAAGGTGACTGCGAATACTTTGCCAGCACTAGAGTTTGCATCATCACTGTGGGCCATCTAATCTCCAAGTTACTTTGATTCGCTTTTTACTTGAAGCTGCAACGCCTCTAGCCGGGGACAAGAGTGACCCGAAAACCGTTAATTTTTGTTTTACTTAACAACTCCCATCCTCACCAACTCACCATAAGCCAGGTGAATCCTCGACTGAAAGCGTCGACTCCTGGAGTTCAGCTTTCCAGACCAATTGTTTCTCGATGAAAAGCTATCGATTCACTCGCAGAAGCTGCCGACAAGGGTTTGGGGCCTTCAGCGGCGGTAATCCAGCTGGTGACCATGGTAGCGGTGTTGCTGAACTTCACGTATGGCTGCCATCGCTTAGGGTCTAACACACCACTAAACATCGTCACGTAACCATCGCTCTCAGCTGTATGTATACTGTCAAAATAGCACTGTCGGATCCGTCGTGTCTGACCAGGGCAGCTAGAACCCCTCAAGTTTCGCCGGCTGCCATACAACCTGTAGACATAGACTAAAAGATATGCACAATTATGTTAAGTTTTCAAATTACTTGGGCAAATTGTGCCTGCACCAATGTTTCATAGACAGGTGCTTAAGGCTACGCATCTGTCATGGTATCTCGTCCGAAGTGTCCCTTTAGTACAAAACACTTAGTTACGAGGAGGAAAAGTGGCAAGCTTTGGTAAATAGCAGAGTGCAGCGTAAAGTGATAGAGATGCATACTTCTTTTTTAGTCAGAACAAATTTTCCATCATGTTAATGAAACGTATTTAGTCCCTATTGCCGAATGTCCGAAAATGTCCGATATTTCATGGATGTGGACATGCAACTTAAGAGTTCATAGGTCGTAGAGTGGTAGAAAATAACGAACACCCCAACTGAACTTTTCATCAATGGCGCTTCGAGTGTTGGTGAACGATGAAGCAGGTCTACTCGGCGTTCGGTCTCTGTTCCGATTCTCTTTCGCTTTGTTTTTTGTCGACTTTTTTATTTCTCCAGGTTGCTGGTCCTCAAGATGAGAAGACTGGCTGATTCAGAAACCCTGTCGCAGTGCGCGACCTATCTGGAGCAAAGTTTTTCGCAACATGTAGCCTACATTTCTGTGCGCCGGCATCACAAACAACCACAGCAACTGTGTTTGCTGCTCTCCTCTCTGGACCAACTGGAGTCGGAGCTCCATGCACTCGCCGAAGAGGGATACAAGGAAGGCGACAAGCCCCATGGGCCTATGTTTCTGACCGAAGGACAGCATTTGGACATTGAATTCAGATCAAACATCCGGCCACGCCAGGTGGATAGCCCAGCAACCGAGCAAGCTAAACAATGCATGAAAATTATGTTCAACTCAGCAGTTTCAAATAGAAAAAAGGTAAACAGCAGTGCTCTGAAGTGTGATTTTCCATAGGAGAACACCGTAAGGCAGCATCGCGTGAATCGACGTTAGAGGAGTAATTCGTCTTGCAAGTCGAACAAAGTCGCCTAACTTGGCTGAGTGAGCACATTAAGTTAGGCGGAAAGTCTCATTTAAGTTAACTCGAAGTACTTGTCGCACAAATTCTGAGGCATTGATATTGGCAGTATCATCACCGCCTGCGCCTCCACCGCCACGGTCACTGTAATTTGGCTAACTACATTTAGTTGTTATCTTGAAGTGCTTTATTGGGATGCAGGACGCAGAATTTGCCTTCCAACCCCTTTCGCTTATGTGTTTAGTTAACTTACGCTCTCAGCACTTTACTTTGCATCATTATACTGACCTTTGTTCTGGGTAGAGCAAACGTTGGTCCTGTCAAGATCATTTGGTAATATAAAACGAACATCTATTATCTTTGTGACCGCCGAATGATGGGATCATCAGCAAAGAGTAAGAAATTGTGGCCCATCACCCAAGCTTCTGTACGATCCAACGACGCCGATGAGCCATGCAATCAGCACCCTTTCGTTGGTCCAGATGAGTGGCGTCATTTTGTGAACCAATATCGACCGATTCATCTCAAGTTGCACGCGCGATCAACACGTTCGTGATTGCAGTGTCGCCAAATTCCGCTCTGCACTCTTAACTAGAACTCCCCTTGCCATTGATTCGTCATGACTGAGTACGCTTAATTAATAGTCATTGGACGAATGCTACAGGCTTCCACATAACTTTATACATATTTATGTGTAAGTATCCCCATGCTGATGACAAAATCGCATATGAAAACAGCCCACAAGAAAAAAACAGTCAAAAATATTATTACCTACTTGCTTAAGCCAGAACAGCACACGGCCAGATGAGATGTGTAACCGAGGTGGGAAGTAGGTCTCCGAAAGACAGATCTATAAATGGTCCTATTACTTTACTTGAACTGGCGGCTGCCTCTACTTTTATTCCTACTCTCAACTTCTCCATATTTTACTACTTTTAAATGATTGAGCACCACAAACTTTATTGAGAAAATGACAGATCTTCGAAAAATCCTTCCAACTTTGGTGTTGTACTTTATCAGGTTGGTATTTTACTTGTGGCTTGCACGTCGAGAAAATATATCGCTTATTTATTTAGTTATTTAACGGTTGTTCAGCTGGAACATCATCAAGGTTGCAATCATACGGATTCTGGAACAGAAACATTTCACTCTCATTTCTGTCAATAGCTGAAAAGCTTTAAAAATGATTTTTCAGTCCACGAATAATTGCTCTCAGAAACTCGACAAAGGCGTCTTCGGTAATCGTAGCGGAAAACGCCTAGAAACAGTTAAAATCAGATTTTCTCCTAGCAGTTGTGTTTCAAACCCTGGCAACCTTCGCCAAAATCCTTTGATGAGTCTGTACAGATGAGGTTGTCCTTTCCCTGCAGTTTCAAGTTCAGCTCATTCATGTGGGATGTGATATCGACCATAAATGCCAACTTTGACAGCCAGATAGGATCTGACAGCTGTGGGTCAGCTTTATGTTTTTCATTCAGGAACGCAGCTATTTCATTTCGGAGCTTGTAAAAACGTAATAGAACTTTACCGCAACTGAGCCATCGCACTGATGTGTGGTAAGGTAAATCACAGAATTCGGAATCAATGTCTTCCAGAAAAGACTGGAACTGACGGTGATTGAGAGCATGTCCCCGAATGAAGTTGACGGCAGAAACGACTGGTTTGAGTACACAAGAAATATCTAAGTCTTTCCCACAGAGTGCTTGTTGATGTAGGATGCAGTGAATGAACAGAGCGGCCGGAATTTCCAAATCTTCCAACTGAGTCCTGATCTGCCCTACCAGACCCTTCCGCACTCCAGCCATGTTTTTCCCTCCATCAACTGTCACACCTCGAAGCCGATTCCACGGAAGGTTATAATCTTGCAAAATTTTGTGCACTTCCACGAAAATGTCCTTTCCGGTTGTCGTTCCATGCATACTGCAGACCGACGCCAACTCCTCCGTTATTTGAAAGCTCGAATTGACACCACGAATGAACACGAGAAGTTGTGACGTACTCGACAGATCAGTAGACTCATCCAGCGCCAGAGAAAACCACAAAAAGTCTTTAGCTTTCTGGCGTATCTGCAGCACTACGTTCTCTCCAAGTTCTTCTGTTCTCCGCACAACAGAACTTGCCGAAAGGCTGATAGTGGAAAACAAATCGGCCTTCTCAGGACACAAGTCATTCACTGCTTCCATTATACACTCTTTGATCAAGTTACCATCAGTAAACGGTTTTCCTCGTTCAGCCATCTTATGAACTATTTTGTAACTTGTACGAGTGGCAGCTTCATTTTCAGTAAACTTTCTCGTGAAGAGATTTCTTTGTGTTTCAAAACCACTTTTCATGGACTCAATCTCTCCGAGCGTTGCTTCCCCGAATATTTAGAGTATGATAATAGGTGTTTTGTTTCATAATGACGCCGAAGATTGTACTCTTTCAAAACCGCTATACTTTCGCCGCATATGACACAGCTGCATTTCAAGTCTTTGTCTCTACGAAGAAGTACTTCACTCCCCATTCGTCGTTGAAAACGCGACATTCTGCGTTCACTTTCCTCCTCTTAGTAGCCATAAGAAGCGGTGCAGTTCACGTGAGCTGAAAATGTAAAAGACACTGAATTGGAAACGTGATTAGCATCCTACTAGAACACCTGCAAAGCAGAGAACTAGCGGCTGCTGATTAAGTTACGGCTCATTAAACATGCATGTGAAGCTTATAAAGTTTATAGAATACAATACATATATCACACAAGGGCCGTTGCAAAATATATGAATACGGCCGGATGAAATGAGCAGCTTGACGCATGGTTTTTAACTCCGGCTGCGAGAGTGACAACCGGACGTACCGCAGAAACACCGAAATCACTCAACGACAACTTTTCCGCCCATTTGATTTATCACGGGCACACAGCACATTTCGCCGTCTCGACAGTAAGCGGATTTCTTACCTGCGTTGAAGCGCCTGTAGTATCCCCACACTGTCATTACGAGGTTCCACTTCTCATGGACATCATGGGCTCGAAAATCATCAGGAGGACGTGACATGCCCACCTTCACAGAAGGCTCTCGTGCAGTTTGCTAAGCGACAATGTGGCTTGCCTATGTCACATGGATCAATTGCATGCACAGCCGCGCGAACGCCACGGCGCATGCGCGTGAAAGATACGACTGCGTGAGTTACATGCACACGAACCTGTAAACAGATGAATGGGGTCAAACGGGTGTTCAGGGTTAGAGAATGCGAAGCGCAATCGAGATTACAGTGCGAAGTGCGGCATTGTGTTGTGAGCGGCCCCGTTCAATTGGCTACACGCAGTATCGCTCAAACTGTCGAAGCTGATAGGCAACATGAAGGGGCCAAACATAGCTGTGATGCCGCGGTGATAATGCATGAACGTGTTCAAACAGAATGGAGTCATGTAATGACTTGATCGAAAGTGTATTAGTGCAAAGACCGTATACACAGGGCTGGCATAGGCATGTGAATTAATTGGGTAGTCAAAAGCGTGTAGTTCGCGGGTCTTAGTTTGGTGACCTCGGCTCTAGACTGATTTGTGGGCCTGCCGCCATAAAATGCTCACGTGGAAAAGCGCCCAATTTCACACTAGTGTCATGTAAAAAAGAATGTTATGCTGAGAAAAGTGGTACAAAAAAGTTGTACAAAAGTTCTCAAATATGCGATACTATCAACAATGTTAATGGACAATGACTTATAACGGGTAAAAAAGCAGGTGCTTGACATGTCCCGTAGGGTAGTTAGAGTGAGAAAAGATTGATCAAGGATAATGGAATCGTCGGTTCCGGCGATTATAGATTTAAATGCACTGCCGTATGAAGGGAGTTTGAAATTAGAATATGCGCACACAAAGTAATAAGGCGAGTGGTCATGATCACGTAATAGGCGGGAAGAAATAAAAAGGAGCAACGACAACGCTTACTCGTGTGCAACTATCTTGGGTCGACGGGAGACGGAAATCCAGTTCCTACAGTAGTATTGTTTATCACATTGTGTGCAAAGGGGTTTGGAATGACTCATTCTCGAGTAGGGTTATGGCACTGCCCACTGTCTGTCGTCCATTAGTGCCACCATTTGGTGGTCAAGGGCTATAGCACGTAGTGTAAATGCGACAGAGTTTCGTCAAGGCGCTTTTTGAAAAGGTATAGGGTGGGTGCATTAATTACATGTTCCGGGAGGGCGTTCCAAGGCTGTGCCATTCGAAGGGAAAAATAGTTTCGCCGACATTCCAGGCGGCAGTACTGCGTGACAGACTTAAACTGGTGACCTCTTAGCGGGGTGTTTTGACTGAGTATCAGAAGGGAATGGCATGGGTCGTTGGGGTTTCTTAGGATCTGGTACACCATTATGAGTTCGCTCCTTAGACGCCGATAACGTCCACTGTATATTTTGTGAGTCTTCAGCCTGACTGGATAGGGGAGGCTGGTCAAACCTCTGACGCTCTTCGTTGCCCTACGCTGTGCAGTATCGAGCGCGGTGAGATGGTGCTTGAGCCAGGGTTGCCACGCTTGGATAGCATATTCCGCGTGCGGCCTCACATAAGCTCTAAGCATTTTTGGAAAGATCGAAGGGTCAAACTTCCCGAAGGCTCTGCGAAGAAGGCCGAGGTACTGGTTTGCTTTCTTAGATGCCTTTTCAGTCTGCCTCGAACAACCGAGGTCATCTTGAACTATCACGCAGAGATCGCACTCGTGAGAAGCCCGCTGTAGAATTTGTGATCCTAGGCGGTAGTAGTTCAAACTCTTGTGCCGTATACTAAGAACCTTGCACTTGGTGACGTTGAAATACAGCATGTTGTCGATGGACCATGTGTACGCTTTGTCCAGATCCTCCTGTATCCCATTGTGATGCTCCACTGCAGCTATAGTACGCCATACCTTGAGATCATCAGCAAATAGCAAACAGTTAAAAGATAGCACGCTCGCAGGATCATTTATGAAAACCAGAGACAGGCGAGGTCCAAGTACCGATCCCTGAGGTACGCCGCAGTGAACTTTGATGGATTCTGATAGGTTGCTTCGAACCCTCACATTCAGGTGACGTTGAACGAGAAAGTCTCCTATCCAACCCAGAACAGGATCGCCAATTCCATATTTCTGGTTTGTGGAGTAAAATTTGATGCTCTAGACGGTCGAATGCCTTTGAGAAATCCGAATATGCCGCGTCGACTCCTACACCAGCGTCCACAGATTCCGGCCAGCTTGCACGAGCAATCAACAGATTAGTGGTACAGGAGCGCTTTTGGCGAAATCCGTGCTGCTCCGGAACGAGAATTTTGTTCTTCTCCGGGTACCCCATCAAAGTCTCAGGTACCATGGACTGTATAAACTTAGAGATCACTGGATGTAGTGTTATCGGGCGATGATTTGCTGGTTCAGCACAGCTGCCACTTTTGTAGATTGGCCTGATCATTCCGTGCTTCCACATCGTGGGGATGTGCATCTCTTTCAGACATCGTTGAAATAAAACTGCTAATGGCGACGCCAAACTCATGGCAGCAACATTCAAGTTTGTCAACCTCCGCAGGTATTTCAGCTTTTCAGCCGTCTGTTCATAATCTCTGACGCAGGATCTGATGGCGTGTTGCAGCATATAATATCTTCGTTTTTACGTCTAGGCAACCTGTCTGCACATTAGCCAGACTACATCCTTCTGTAGTCCATCAAACAAAGACCAGATGTTGGGATGACTGCAGTGAAATAAAGAGTCCAAGGCATTGTGGAACCCCTCACAACAGTTTGTGGTTTTCGGCGACATCTCAAGATCTGTATCGTGATGGTTCCACATTTGCGGTGGAAAATGTGGATCCCTGTTTTCATCACCCTCAGTGTTTGTGGGGACGCATGTGAGAACCGCATTATACGATTCCTAAGTAGGGAATGTGGCGCCAAGTTCAACAAAAACTCTTCTGACATCACCGACCGGGACAATCGGTAATGTGGCCAGACTTAAGCTACAATTTTATGTTCACATGCGCCTCAAATGCTGTCTTCAGGCTGACGTTGCTCACTTTCCTGAGGAGGCTTTGGCAACGGTGGAAACAGCATCCTTTTAACTTCTGCGTCAGGAAAAAAGTTCTCGCTGAGTTCACGGAGGCCTTCTCACAATCTAGTAGAACCCAGTTAGGCTTCAAACCCGGAAGCAACAGCTTCATTCTTTAAAACATACTAATGTAAATCTCGGTAGCTTTTTCCGCAGCAAGAAATAAATACAAGGCGAATAATTTTCTCAAAAATTGCTCAAAAGTTCTATCCCCACAGACTGTATCTTTACACAATGCATTTCATAGTGCTTTGTCACCCATTACAATAATTCTGTCGGGATCATTCACACCTGAATCATAAAGCACCATTGCTTACTACTTGCAAGGGATGTCAAAATGTTTCGTGGTTTGACAATGTGAATGTCTGCTTTTTCTGTGATTCAGAAGAGCTGTCACAAGGTATGTCTGTTTGGGCATATGGACCAGTACTTCGTTACTCAGAGCTGACAACACATTTCCTATAACAGTACGTGGTGTGACACTAAATGGTCTCACGTCTAGCATCATTTGGCTTCTCTGACAGCATGGACTACTGTTTGTGGACATGAGTCAAGACAATCCGCGGTCGGTTATTGTACGATGATGTCGTCTCGTGTCTTCACTAGTGAGTGACAAGTCATGGATCGGTTGTGTCGGCATCTCCAAGTAAGGATTCCGTTTGTACTGCGAAAAGCGACGTATTCAAACCTTAAGTACGTGAAAACTCGGTTACCCTTCTGATTTGTTGAATACTCCGTTGAGAAAGCTACACAAAATAGGGGGTAGTTGTTAAGCACAGCTGGGCCATATTTTTCTAATCGACAAGGTGTTTCCTGCAACAAGCATGCATTCCAATACCGCTTACCGAATTCAGCCGTTTCATGTATTCCCTCAACCGCGTACATACAACTCGTGGAATAAATCGGCTACGCACATAGTCAAAGAGCAATGTCATTGGCTGAACATCGGCAGTCGAAGACCATTTGATACTAAGCGGGTCCCTGACAGGTCACCAACCTCATCAAGACAAAGCAAGGTTAATCAGGAACACTGTTAGGTCAGACCAAGTGCATTAGAGCCACCGAATCACTGAGTCATAGAGGGTTTGTCATGTAGGGCAGCCGTTTATGTGGAAAGCGATCGAACTGGTGTACTTGCGTGTTTGCCACACACCGTGTTCCCCATATACCGTCTGCGGCATTTTCCGTGTACGCAATTTTCCGTGTACACATTTTTGCGTGTAAGCAATTTTCCATGTACGCAGGTTTTCATGTACGCAAGTTTCGTGTACGCTTTTAGCTGTACACAATTTTCGTGTACGCAATTCTCTGGTCATCACATTGTCCATACATTCGTTTATTTTACTGAGTTGTTGTTCTGCTTTCAAGGACACAAGCAATCGGCGTTTCGGCATACCAATCAAACGAAAACTAAACAATTTCAGTGCAATGTTGCTGTACATCTCCAACTTGTAGTGGCCGGGAGATTCCCACTTGACTGTTCAAATCATTCTAAAATATTCCAAAATCATAGTTTTCATATATAGTAGGGAAGTCGGTGGTTTGCTTGTTCGAATGTTACTCCCGTCTGTTTGAGTCGAAAGTAAGACACGTGCATCCGCTCCGGAACCAATCAGGCGCGACCCGCGACTGGCGCCCATCCTCACACCCAACACACATCCACGTCTTCCCTAGCTAGTCCTCTCCTTGTGTCTCATTTATAGCTTTAGCTACTTTAGCGACCTTTCAATAGACTTCTTTTAGTTTATTTTCGTGTATTTTACCGCTCACTTTTGGTTGGCCGTTTAGCTGCGAATCTGATATATAGCGCAAGACAGACGCGTTATAAACTACCCCCAGAGGCAGGTTATGACTGTATTATTTGAATCACCTAAGCAAATTTTAGGATAAAGCTTAAATGTTAGGTTACGACGCAATGGTTAAGGTGGCTGAGCACACAAGTTTGAGCAACATGTCCTCCAAAATTGAAAAGACGAATGTGACAATGAGGCGTAAAGTTTCGCCCGGTTCCTGTGGAGATTTTGTAGTTGCTACCATGCAATTATGGACCATCCTTTCCTTAACCATACCATACACATTGTATTTCAAAGGAAAGCATGTTAAAATCATGGTACTGGTTCGTCAAGAGAGACATGTTATGGTTAATGGAGTACACTGTGGTAAGCAAAGCCGACTATTTGTTCAACCACTACCACCCCTTTCTTGCGAATTTCAATGCACTGACGGGCTTCTGCATGCAACACGCCATTTGTTGTCATACATATATATCAAAGATCGTAGTTACGATTATGTGCAGAAACAACTTAAGTGTCACCAGCGTTTACCATGCATGAACCAAATTGTTTTACCTTCCAGATTACTGTCGAGGCAATAGATACCTCAGCGCAGGTTGGTCTGGATGAATATCGTGGATTCATGGATGTCTACTGCATGAGGGAACTCATTGTTCCAGTATCCCAAAAGCGCAACGGAAACATAGACGCCCTACACGAGGAGTGGTATCCATCCCCTAACGTACTAAAACTCAAAAAGTCCCGATTCCGACAGACCACCGAACGCACCCATTTAACTCGGATTGTGCTAAGGCTCCCCAAGCAATCGACGGTATTGGAACCTCAAGCTGAACAGAGAGCGTTTCACTTCGAAGTCAGAGGTAAAACTCCATCCATTTATGACTCGGGTTTCACATATTCCTTTGCAAATAGGTTGGCGAACATTTTGAGTCTGGTTTATGACAAAGCTACTAACCAAGCGTTACTAGTTAGTGAACATTCGTAGCTAGTAAACTTGCACCGGTAGATTGAGTCGCTAGTAGGCACACGAATAATTGTTTACCTAATTCTTCACTCTCTGTCATAAACAAACCTAGGACTGAGAGATTGCCATCCTGACGATTTGAAACATGCAAATATAGTAAATTGAAGGAGGGTTTTGCATGCTTTAATTCCAAGCGCACCTAAATATATACCGAGACTTGTAGCCGCATAAAACTAGCGTTGTCAGGTACACCAGGTCACTTGACATCAAGATGTTCGGTTGACGTGAGCGAGTGTGGCATCTTGTTGGCCATTCCTATTCCTCTGTACTTCGTCCTACTTAACCCGATTTTGCCTGCCCACTGTTTGGTGGGTGAATGTGAACCCCTAACGTCGAGTACTTCCTTGGTCCGTAAGATTGCATGCCGCATCTTGCTGCACTGAGGATGCGCCCCACGCATGGTGGTGAAACGTTCGCGACATAACCGTCAAGCTCGAAGAATAGATGAACAATTGAATTGGTCCGTATAGTCTCTGCTACGACTTGTTGGGATAGTTTATCATAAATAATAGAATCAAGCGGGTTATAAGGTAGCATCCCCCACCCACTAAAAGGCACGTCAGCGGTTGGTTAAATTTGGAGGTAGCTAACCAATGTGAACAGATCCCTGAGTTATCCATACCATTTAGCTGAATATGCATTATGGCAATCCACTTGAAAAGTCATCTCATTATGTTGCTATACTGATCACCTGTTTCCGAGTAAGTAATGTTAACTATATGGATTGAAATCTTTAATTTTTTAGGTTGTTTGTTACGGATTCTTTTCCTATCAACTAAAATGTTTTCATTAAATGCGTACAAATGACCCTGTAATAGCAGAGGATTGCATGCAAGACGAAAGATTGTGGCGTGACTGTGGAATTTTTGCAACACTTGCCTCGGCGTGCTTCGTACGAAATCGAGTAAACACGACGGAACAGCATATTTCCAAGAAAAGTCGTGCACTCAACTTTATTTGTGAAGTGGCTGACGACTTTTATAGCACCATGCTTTGGTACTCGTGTCCTAAGTAGTTCGGCCAAACAACACAAAGTGTTCTCTTATATAAATCTTCCTTCTGCAGACTGTGTAGACCACAAGTACTTAAAGGAACTGGCGAAACGGTTGCCCAGTGACACTTGGAAGAAGTTAGGTCTGGCGCTGGACATGTCACGAGGTCGGATTCAGGCAATTGGTGGTAAGACACGCGGGGGTGCCGAGGAGCAGGCCTATGCAATGCTCATTAGTTGGATCAAAACGCTACCAGTTTCCGCCAACAGGGTGAGTTTTTGGCTTCGCATATTAGTCCATCGCCTAATGATGTCTAAAATTCTTGTAATTTAACACCTTTACCAGTTTAAGTGCTGCACAGGACGCCTACGCCTCTGGCGTGCCCTGTCATAGGAAGTGGAAACTCAGCTTGTTGTTATGACTGACTACAAAAGTCAGCGATTTGTGTTTGGCCTCGCAGTCAATACAACTTCAATACATTACTTTTAACAAATCTTGTACCAGGTGTTTGAGCGAGGAAGGAATCAGTGCAAGGCAATTCCACTTCCTGGTGTATTTCAGTACCGGATTTTGAAGGGCTTGTGAAATCACACGGGTTTAGCCGCATCAGGCCCCGTTTGAGCAAGACAGGAAGAAGATAGTGAGGTAACTGATGGAGGGAAAGAAATTGAGCCCAGGCTCGTGAAACACTGACGTAGGATGGTCCGACTGGAGGGAATGTTGAAGCCGACGCAACTCGGTCTGTTCATAGAGAGAAACGACGTTTGTGTGCTTACTCTCTTATACCATGAGGAACTCGATTCAGCCGTTATACCCATCCTACGTCGTTGCAAATTCCGTTGAGTAGCCTGCACATCTAGCATTCGGGACAACACTCCAAACCCGCATTTGTGGCAGTCCATGAGCTCGGCCTTTCATCCGATTTTCACGATTGCAACCTGCTACTCATCAGTAGATGGACACAACTTAACGATAATCACCTAGCTAACGGGTTATCACCTTATCGATTGCGCTACGGTTGTCTCACCGCGTCTGTGGTGAATCCTCCCTGAAATGTGGTATGAATACACGGGATCTAGAACCGAATTAGCTATAAACAAGTCATTGGAGATGGATGAAACCAGAGTTCGAGTTTTCTCTATGGCGGAATTGTGCTTGAGTTGTTAAACAGTCGGTGCAATTAGAGCTGTTTGCGGAAACTATGACAACTGTATTGCCATCGCTTTTAAACTATTCTTAGAGTGGACATTAGTTGTTACAGATTACTCCAAGTGGCCTACTGCACTTATTGCGGCGTCCCCATTATGCCGCGGGTACTGAAGGCTGGAGTGATGTGGAGCATATACAAATGCAAACAAGTAAACAAGCTGTTTGGGGGTTCTGCGAGGTAAAGCCAGATGGCCTACCACGGCGCCGTAATTAACCGTGTGCTAGCTGATAATCAGTGGATTGATGATCTTTATGTTGGCTCGTTTTGAGAATAGGCTTAGTCTCTGCAATATCTTTGGATAACTTTAAACCGACTAGGTATTTATAATTTCGGATAGTGATGAAAGACAAATCGTTTGTCATAGTCATGTATTGCGGCTACGTTTCGCTCTCACCGCAAGAGCTTCTTCAAGCCAAGAAGCTCTGGTCTAAGAAAAGCCAATTTGTGTTATCTGGCCTTCCAAAATTGGGTTTAGTCCCTTTTGAACTCCATACTCGACTTTTGATTCGATGATACGAGTCGGCAAATTTTACAGATTGGCTAGGCCATCTCCGGCAGGCGCCACTGATCGTCAGGTTCATTCACCAATCTTTTTTGTCGTCTTCAATGAGGGAAGCTCTGATCGCGGTTGGACAGCTTGTATCGTGTCTTACAATCACATCAAATCAGTTCTGGCTGTCGATCCTTTGGCCCTTGCAAGCCCCACCACGTCGTTAATCTACTGCGATAATTGTCAGAACAAGATATAGGTCTCATTTCGTCACATCTAGATTCACTCAGATATCTTGACCATGTTCGCCTAACTATACTTGTCTTCACGCGTCGGACGATGCGGTACTTTACTGCAAGTAAGCTAACCGTTTCACAGCGTTTCAGACTCAAGCTTTGTAAACTTCATGATGGACGGAGTTAGCACGTCAAATTGGTTGCTGAACATCTTCCCAACCTATTTCGGTAAAGTCATGCAGTCATTCTATTAAAATGTGTGAATGCACTTTTTAATAATTCAAACTTACCATACGTTCTGCCCACAGTTCACACTTCTTTACCACGCCCTACAAACCATCGGCAGAACGGATCTAGCATTGCAGCTGCGTGACCGCGGTGAAGAAAATTGGGATGACGAGGTCACAAGCTCCGGCTAACCAACACACCATCCCGAAGAGGTCTTCTACTCACATTGTCCAGGAACCGATTGGATGTAGCATTTTTGTACGGAAGAACCTTGCTTTTGACATATGCTGTAATTTGCTTCAATTCAGTTTTCCTCGTTTTATTTTAAATGCTAGTGCTACAATTTCATCGATAGATGGTTATGCTTTGAGGGTGACATCAGTGAATTTCGTATCCATGCACGGCAAATAAGCTGTTTGACATGGACATAGGTGTGTGCTATGCTAGAAACAATGAAACTTCGGAGAGCATCAAGTTAGGTGACTGTTAACGTTGAACAACAATCTGGAGGGGCGCTGCTGGCTGATCAAGCCACAATGCAAACAATAAACAAATGATCCTTTTTAGTTAGGAAGCAACTCGGATTAACTAGGCCCAACCACCTAATCCGTGTTGGAAACACTAAGGACTAGACAGATAACTGCAGCAGGACATTTCTCTTATGATTCGTAGTCACGAACTACGGTTTGTTGGGTGATGCATGTGACTGGGGTGGGAATAAATGCGTGCGCAATCAAACGAACCACGATATTGGCCATGTGCACACATTACAGCAGTGTCCATGTACGTGTCGTGTTCTTACTCGAAACAATGCCACAGTAGGACAACAGAGAATGATGACTACTGCACATAAGCCATCCGTTGATAAGAAGTTGGATTTTTGTAACACCATAGGCTGTCAAATGATACGCTGAATATCGCGTTTGGTTTAGCGTATGTATTGTTTCACCCAATTCGAATTGGTTGGTTTGCTCGTGGGGTAAACGACCTCCATCCTTGCGTGTGGGCGAACATAGCAGCATGCGCTGACGGATTCATAGGTAACCAACAGAACCACTAAGTGTGGAACCCATTGTGGCGCAAAGTATCGTGCCTTGCATAAAGTTTCGGTCAGTAGTGGTGTTGCATATGACTGTTCATCGGGTTATCAATTGTACGGAAGCAGAGCCGAGATGAATTCATTGAAAATAGTGACACAAACGTCTAAAATGGATGGGGGCGAACGATGAAGAAAACGCGAAATCACAAAGTTCAAATACCCAAAGCGCACACTTGTTAAATCGGACGATTAACAAACCATAGCAAAGGAACAGATTCCCGAAAGGATGAAACAGCCGGGCTTGGATTGGGTAACTTAGTCAAGGAGGGATGAACTACTGTTCATAACATTCATAAGCCCATACTACACTCTTGTAATCAGTAAGCAGGTCAAACTTCTTTGAATGTCGGTTTAGTTTGGTCAAATTCGTCGCTCGGTGAGGAGGCTGCCTGATCCACTGCACGGCCGTAAAGTGCAAGCCACTAGGCTGCGCGATATCAGATTTTGTAATAACATCGCCGTCGATCGGTACTAGATTTCGTCGTTCCCTGTTCTGGATTGGACGGCAGCAACCGATTTGGCCTAGTTTGGTGACGCGACGCACTAACCTTCGCTCGTAGGTAATCCTAATCGACGCGTGGATTGCTCTCGCGAACTGTGCCCAACGCCAAAGGTCGACGGACGACTGATCGAAACAATCCAGGAAAGTTAACTACGATTAGTCGCACACACCCAAGTTCTTCCGACTGACTGAAGCACGAGAGAAAAAGAAGACAGACTTTCACACAGTGCTTTGACGACTAAGAAAAATGGAGTACAGACCAGGACGCCGCTTCGATGGTACAGAGAATGAATCACTACGTCGGGGTGTATGATTCAAGAACTATATCTTCAATTCCGTGCCCGCTGGTGCATACATTTTGTGGGGTCTATTGGCGCTTCGCAAAAATTCTATACATCTAATAATCTCAGCCATTACTGCCCGCCGTAGCTCAGTGGCCCCAACCACAGACTGGTAACAGATGGGTTGCGTGTCCTTGCCCCACAAGCATAGCTAGACCCATTCATCAATAGTTCGAGAATGCTATCTGCGTCCCCGCTATTCGCTTTGATTGTCACACCATAGTGTTGCAGCTGGGTGAATCCCGTTTGATGACCTGTCTGGATCTCAGCGTGCGTGCGTGCGTGCGTGCGTGCGTGAAGGCGAGACAGTGAGAGGGGGCTTAAAGAGGCAGTTAACTAGGTTACTTTGATTTCGTTGAAACCCGAGATGGATTACGAGGTCACACGAATGAAAATGAAAATCTCACTTTGATACCTGACGAAAAGGGACGAAATGGGTTAGCACGTCTTGGTCTCAGTAAGTAAATGGTCGACACGTGTGAACGGAACATGGTGTAATCAGCAAATGACAACACTCGTGACCAGTTTTACGGACGACACGCAGAGTTTGGTGCTTGTGGCAGTGTGTACATACATGCATGCGTGCGTGCGTGCGTGCGTGTGTGTGTGGTGCACCCGGCATAAGTGGATTTAGGCTTAACGTTGGGTGAACATGAAACAAGGGTTAATTCTAACTTGGGGCGACCCCCAGATAGATAACCGTGTCACGGGGTGAAGATACGATACGTCTGTCAATCCGAAATGCGGCTCTTGCACTAGTGAGGGCTATCTGATGGGGACCAGCGCTTCGTGTGTGGTGTGCGACTTCCGGCCCATCAATGTTTCAGAGGAAGATTGTCATCCAGGAGACGCTGGATACGTTGTGATCAAGTAGACCAACCAGTATGCTTGGATATTTGGTTCCAGTCCTCCTAATGCGCTCTCGACAGCGCTCTCTTGGAAATGTCGACAAGATGTTGTTCCACTGAAGCTCGGTTTTCACAGTAAGTAGGTGAACTTTTGGCATTTAGGACATCCTGGAATTTATGTTTGACTGAGGGCTGAGATAAGTTTTCAGCCACCGACTGAGGAATAATTTGATTCGTTTCCCGAAGAAGTTCCTGGAAAATCGGAGGTGAATCAGGGCATGATAAAAACTGATGCATGTACTCCAGCAGGAGCGGCAGTCCAGGATGAAAACGCGTCACCGGAAACATATGGCGATTTGATTTCATCGCTGGCCAGCTATCAGAGAACACCAAGTGGCATATGGGGGACACAGTGTGCCTGAGGGTGGGGCTGATAGGGGACAGCTGATGCTCAACTCACAGTTGCAGCAAACTGTTCTAATCGCGGTTGATGGGGCATAGAACCATCGTACAGCACAGTGCCTTTCCTACTTCGTACCGTTGCAGGTTGCCAGGTTAGGTGCTTCGGCCTTGTATCCAACGCGTAAACCGGCTCCCCGGTAGAAAACTTCTACTCCCGCATGACGCTAGTGGCCGTTATTTAACCTTTGGGGATATTGCATCAATTTTGGATCTGTCGCCTGGTGAGGCGGAGTTAGGAGTGGCCCGATAACAGGAACAGTTGTACGATCTCCTCTGTCGGCCTTTCCCCCAGAAGTTTTACGATTGAACGCTTGAATGTATGCAAGAAAGTTTTCTGCTTGCACGATGGACTGGGGATACCCCGGAGGCGACCGATAGTGTTTGATGTCATCACGTTGACATAAAGCACCAAATGAATAGATAACTTGCGAATTGTTATCGGAAATCAAGGTGTTTAGTGAACCGGATAGTGCAAATAACTGTTGTAGTTTCCCTACCATGGTCGACATCATAGTTGTGTTCACCAGGTATACTTCCGGCCACTTGGTGTACGCACGGACAACAATTAACAAACATTAGCCTTGTACTGGACCAGCGAAATCAGCGTGAATTCTCTCCAAAGACTTGGACGCTAGCATCCAGCGTTGTATGATTTGGCTTGGAAGTTTCGCTGCTGATGAACGATTGTTACGTATGGCGACACAATCATGGATAGAGTTGTCTGTAAAAGACCAGTACACGTAACTTCTGACTAAAACTTTTATCCGTGATATTTTGTGGTGTGGTAAGTGCAAATATCTTAATACCCTTGCATGCAGACATTTCGGCACAACCGAGCATTCCCCGAACCTAAAACAATTATCAACCAGTGCTCACGAGTCGTCCCGACAGTAAAATTGTTGAAGGTGTGTGCCAGTAAGTCGGTTTCGCCCCGTTGTGTCTAAAAAAACGGATAAGTTTCGTAACAGATGGTCGTGTTTGGTGTACTCCTGAATGCACACAGAAGTAATCAGAAGAGCTTTGATTGAATTACGCAGAAGCCGTTTCAGGTCTCATTCAAGCGCAAATGACGTGACAAGTCGAGACAGCGCATCGGCGTAGCTGAAATCTATCGTAGGCACATGAACTAATGTAAAATTATATCCGGGCAACAGTGTCACTCAAAGTTGGAGGCGATTTGCAGATGAAGATTTTGACGGCAAAAGTTGAAGCTAGTGACTCTTTCTTGAGATGTGAGTAGATTCTTGCTGAATTCGTTAAGATACGTAATCTGTAGGCAACCAACCTCATGTGTCAGAGTCGAACCACACACGGAGAACTGCTTCAACACCATAACTAGAGGCATCTGCGGATACAATGATATCTGCTTTTGGTTTATAATGTGCTACACTAAGTCATATACAAGAGCTTTCTTAATGATCCTAAGCACTTCATCATATTGGGATGACCGAAACCAGGATCGATTTGTACGCACCAGCTCATGCATTGCCTCGCGAAGTCGACGCATATCAGAAAGAAATACATTATAACAACTTACCATGCCCAGGAATGACTGTAGATAATTCCTCTATGATATGCGCTTTATCAATATAAGGTCACGGTTGACAATAAAATCGAGGTATTTCAGTTGAGTCATTAACAGGTAATATTTAGCAGCTCTCAGAGTCAAAACATATTCCCGTAGGCGTTCGAATACCTGCAAGTGGTGGCAACGAGACTGGACCTTAACGCGGTGCGACGGTTTATGTACCTCATTAACCCATTGAGCTATACTGGGTGATGCCTCCGGGCATCTTGAGAGCTACTCCTACCAGGTTGATCAATGGTGAGAGGTCAGAAAAACTCAGTCTCGTGGTCCTCCAGGTTTGGGGGTTTGAAATGGGATGAAGTGCATTTCTGTAAAACTAAATCATTGCCACCTCCCCGCTGCCTTGCAGACAGAATTTTGAGCCAAAGGCTTTGGATGAGGACCCTAATAGTCCTCCTATCTACGATAGGAGGACATCTTTCTCAATCATAAACTGCATCCTGCATCGGCCGTCGAGCAGATTATCAAGGGTCACCTTATCTGCTGCATACAGCAGGGCGGATAAGCGAAAACATGCTACTGCTGGCGC